AAAATGGCAAAAAAAATGCAAAAAGAAAAATAAGGAATGGGGTTAACCATGAGAAAGAAAAAAAAAAAAAAAAAATTGCAACCAGGAACAGGAAAAAGAAAAAAAGCTGAAAACTAGAACCTGGAAGGGGAAGAATAAAGAATAATAGTAAAAGCACAAAAGTGGTAATAATGATAGTAGTTTTAAAACAGACAAAAATAAACTAAAAAACAGAAAATAGAAAAAAGGAAAAATCAGGGAAGGGTGTGGCAGGGCACCCAGGCTCCATCCGAGCACACAGACTGAGATGGAACTCCTGCCAGCCCAGAAGGTGGGTGGGAGTGAGGGATGGCCACACCTCTGTTCATCAAGATGGTGTGGGGTATAAGAGTAACAAGGGGAATGTTGCACCTTTCCGGTCATCTGTGGCTGGAATGTCCTTGCGATTTCAGGCAAGTGGAGACTGTTTTTAAGTCCCTGGAATCTGGGAGAATGCTGTTGCTTTAAATATCCAAAATGGTCAAACCACTTGTAAACATTCAAAATGGCTGCGCCCTTTAGACGGGTAAAAATCCACAACTCAGCCCGCCTCCCACTCCACTGCTTCCCCCTTTTATTCCCCAGCCACCAGAGCAGTCCTCCGTGCAGTCCCTGGCTAGCAGGGCTGATTTTTAGGTTAATTCTTAGGTCGTACCACCACTCAGCAGTATCCAGCTGTCTGTGCCATCAGGATCGCTGCCAGACCGCCGTTCCGTATGTCTCCTTTTTTGGTGTTTTCATGGAACTTCTTCTACTAGTTGGAGTTTAGTTCACTTATATATCCTTCCCGTCAAGGCTCAGGGACCCAGGATTATCTTCTGTATCTGTGTTATAATTGATTTCCCATTTCTTTGTTGAAGAAGGTCTGTGCATTCTTTCTGCCTATTCTCCCATCTTACTGGAACTCCAGGAAATAGTCATTTTAAGCTCTGGTGAACCAACCCTTCTCTGTAAACGAACCATCCCAGTTATATTTGAAGATAAATCCATAGTAATAATTGGTGAGAACAGCCATGACGTGGTAGCAGCATGTCCAAAAAGGGCAAGTAGGCAGAATCGTTCTTAGCTGTAAGGAAAGGACTATGGGGGGAATTTTGCTTAAAATAAACAACATTGAGAGCATGTGATTTTGGGTTTGGCTGAGGCCCCTGGTTTTGTTAAGAGTCTGACAGCAAGGCTCCCCTGAGCTGGTTATGTTAAGAAGCATGAAACACATTGTTCTGGCTGTTACTGACTAAGCATTGTCTTTAATGTGTCGCAGAGTCTAAGCAATTAATCCAGTAATTCAAGCATAAATGCCACGTTCACCCCAGATAGTCCAGTAGAGAGCTTATGTAAGGCAGCTTTTCCTGTGCCAAAACGCATAAGCTCCACCTTGGTGTTATCAACACTTCAGGAAGATAACAGATGGACTTCAGAATTTTGGTTGCCTCTGTGAGGGTTGCTCAAGTCCTTGCTGTTTGTTCACCTGACTGCATTGTCTTTTCTCAGGCTACTTTTAAGGTAGCTAGAATTCTGTGCTCAGGGCAGTTTTTGCTTTTTCCCTGAAGTCTGTCATAAAAATGTGTTTTTCCTGTCCGGTGTTCAGTCTATTAATAGTATTGCTGTACATTGTTCAGCCATAGCAAAGATCCGTGTGATTTGGATCATACATGAATGTAGGTCAACTGCAGGTCAGACCATGTCCCTAACCCAGAAATCCACAGCAGAAAGGGCCAGTAAAGAGCATCGAGGACCCTGGTGGTCAGCCTGGTCCAGCATAACAGCGTTGTTTTTGAAGTGCAGGCTCCACTCCTCTTCATTTACTTGGAGAGAGGTCAGTGTGTGTGACAGCACAGACAGTGTGTCTTCTGATGGCTCCTGGTCTGGTGTGGTTTTCTGTTTGGACTTTCTGTTTTAAAGTGTTGTTTACTTTAAAAGTTTGGATATTTTGGAGACAGGGCAAGGATCCATGGTAAAAAGTCCACACAGGGACTTTTGCTTTCAACCTTAAGGAGAGCTCTCCTGACAGCATTGAGATAGAGTGCTGCAAGGCTTGGCTCAGCGTTACACAGTGGATCATCCTGCTGGGTATAGAAGGCCTCACTGGAGTGAGGATCATGCTAACTTTTTAACATCAGTTCTTTCTACTCTATCTAGAGATTTTACAGACTGATCGACTTTGGAGTGTTTTTGTTTAAACATTGGTCTTCCTCCTCTTTTATGACTTTGTTTAAAGTAGAGGAGAGCTGGAGGAATATGTGCCAAGAGGCTTTAAGCAAATAAGATGGAAGAAAAGAAATGAATGTTTTTCTAGATTTGTCTTTCTTGTGCTTGTAGTTTACCAGCAGACTAGCACGTCCGTCAGTGGTTCCTTTTGTGTGAATGAAGGTGTACGTGTAGCCACCTGCCTATCTCCAGACCAGTACACACGTCCTGTTTTCTGAAGTGTCCAGATGCTGCTGCAGAGAAACCCAGTGCACTTGTGAAATGAGAGGTAGCCAGATCACCAGCTGGACCTGCCCCAAGGAAGCATGATGTTAAGTTGCCGATTAAGATGATAGCCATAAACACACAAATTTAGCACTTTTAATGGAACAGATGCATGTCTATCAAATTGGCTCACATGGAGGATATTAGAAATCACAGTGCCTGTCATTCATTGCAGTTCTCAGAGCACTGCTGTGTCTGTCCCTGTGAGACAGACTTGCCATGGAGGCAACGAGAATACTTGGAGGTGAGCCTCACACACTCCTTTCCAGGCCTGTCGGTTGAAGGCTAGGAAGTAGCTTCTGTGGGCTCTGGATGTGATGTGAACGCATCAGTCCACTAGGAGTACCTTAGGGGAGAGAACGTCTTTGAGCTGAGCAATGTCAGAGTGAGATGAACTGTGGTAGATGTGATGGCTGTCTTACAGATAGATGCTTGATAGGGTCTGCTTGTTTCTATGTGGAGTTTATCTGCACTGATTGAATTGCTGACCTTTGTCTAATGTAAATTGCAGCTTTCCAGGTCATGAGTACTGGTGGCTGAGTTGCAGTGGAGATGAGAGGCTTGTTCTCCCTGTTCATTGTTGGTACATTTGATATCTACATACAGAAATCCAGCTGAGGTGCCCTCCATCACTGGTTACCAGGACAGTTTTCTTTTTCACAGTGTGACAAGTGGTGATTTACACTTGATTGGACTCTCCTGCGTCCCTGGGTGATGGAGCCTAGTGGATAAGAAGCCATCCAAAGTGTGTGTGACTTTGTTGTTAAGTTTACCTGTTTCAAAGGTCATGGTGGTGGTGGAGGGCAGGGTAGCGGTGGCAGAGGCACCCTGGTAGCAGCATCAGCATTAGCACTCATGGTGACTTTAGCACTCTTGGCTACTATGAAGCGAGAGGAAGACAGGCAGCTGAGTTTCATAGAGTTGTTAGTCTGTTCGGTGAATCGTGTGTGCATGTACTTCAGTACGACAATGTGATAGTCATGCCATGACTGCAGGCCTTATTTTCTAAGAGAACTAGGTGCTTTCCAGTCAGCCTGACTCCGGGTGACCTCATACGTGTCAGAGTAGAACTGTGCTTCCCAAGGCTTTCAACTTTTCGACTTTCGATTTTGGGGCGGTTGACTGCCAGCCTTTCTTCCCAGGAGCTGTGTGGTGGACTCGAGTCTTTTCGGGGTGTTAATCGTGCGTGCCCTCAGGGACTCTTGTCCAGGTGGACTCCTAGCCTTCGGCGGGCTGCTGCTTTTCACTCCAGAACGGATCGTGTCTTTCTTCTATAGCTAAACAACAGTTTCTGAGCATTTTGATTATTTCTGGTAACTCTTGTATAAATTTGACGCATAGATGCAAAAATTGAAGAATAATCTTGCAGTGCAGTAGTTAGGAATATTTTTTTCTAGTCTCTAAGATTTAACACTGTTAAAAACTGCTAAGTGGTTTATATTTAAATGACTTATTTTTCCCCCCTCTGTGTCAGGAATCTTAAAGGTGATACTTCAAGGTTGGTGGCCTCGCGACTGCTTGGCTTGCTCTTCCTTTTCCTGGGGGTGTGTTAACCGTGCTGGGCAGAGCGTTGCTTTGCCTCGCAGCACACGGCTGGCGCATGCTTGGCTGATGCGGTTTGGTCCTGCGCTTTGGGAGGCAGCTGAGCTGTGACTCGAGCCCTCGGCTGCTTTACTCACGGCTGCTGCATAAGTGTGAGGTGTTACTAATGTTTGGGCTGTTGTGGCGTATCTAAAGGATGCTTCTTAATATATTTTCAAGCCTGGGGAGGTATGTGCTTCATGATTGCACAGATACTCAGCTATTTGGGGAAATAGGCATTAGTCCAAGTCATTTTTGCACTGTGCTGGCATTGCTGAGAAGACTGTGGCTGAGAAGGTCGGAAGGTCATGCAGACCAAGGTGTGGAAGGCTCAGCGCTCCCTCCTGGAGGGTGTCGTCGGTGATGGTGTGAGCCCTGAGCCAAGCACCCTGGAGGCTGCTGGGCCTCTGGGGCTGTAGCATGGAGGAGGGCTATGTGCGCAAAGGACAGGCCTTACTTGTTTTCTGTTTGGTTGACATGTCTTTTCATACAATTGAGGTACATTTTCACTTCACATAAGATTTGAGTAAGTGATATTTTTCTTGAACATTCTATTTATGCTTTTGAAGAATAAAACCGAGCTTCCTGAAGAGATGCTGTTGTGGGGTGTGTTTAAACGGTTCTGTGCTGAAGCATTCAGATACCCATTACATGCAATGTATTTTGTCTTGTATATTAATTTTTTAACATTTTCTTTCAAATGATCAAGCTTAACTAATATTAAGTAATTTAAATGCAGAAAATTCTGTAAATGTTTTCTTCTGAAAAAAATTGTGACATTAAGCATTTTAATTAAAGTTTTGAAGTCACATTCCCTCAGTATATCTTGAAGAACACATTAAATCAAATATTGTGACCTTCTTCTAACAGGATGTTAGTCAGTTGAGTAAGTATTCACACTTGAACTTGCCTTTTCTTTCTTGTTTCAGGAAACTCTCATTACGACTGTTGATTCAGACTCCAGGTGTGTAAGGTGCTCCTTTCCACGATGCATCCGTTTGGGGGTTTGGGGCTCCTAAAGTCAGGTTGGGCTGGGGCCCTTGGCCTATCTGAAGCCCCTCTGCATGCTTGAATTCCCTCGTGTCCTTTCATGGTGGTTGTCCAGGCTGGGCTTGACACCCACACAGTGTCCCTGGATGGTCCAGCAGTCGGTCCTGTCGGAGTGCTCAGGCCAGCCAGCACTCTCCATAGCCACCCCAGCTTTTCCTTCTGCATCGCCCCCAGAAGCGTGCAGGATGCACGGAATCTCTGTTTTCCCCTGGTGCCAAGCTTGGAAGCAGCCATTTGTGTCTAGTCTGTTTCGTGCCCAATTGCCCTGCCCAGTCTGTGGGTGTTCTGCTACACCCCTGCCTGCAGGCAGTACCTCTCTTACTTTGTCTGATGTGACAGTTTCTTCCTGTACAGAAACTGAAAGCCCCAACAAACTCCGAGATGAAAATGACACTCGTAATCCTTTTGAAGTTTAAATCTTTATACTGAACTTAGTGTTCAATTAGTGCTGTGTGAAGAGTTTTAAAGGATAGAAAGTCTATACAAAAAAAAAAAAAAAAAAACCCAAACTCACTGCCAAACTCGATCCCAACTCATAATGACCCCTCCTTGGGTTTCCGAGGCAGTATCTTTACAGAAGTAGGTTGCCCAGTCTTCCTTCTGAGGAGTGGCTGGTGGTCTTGAACCGCCAACCTTCTGGTTAGCAGTCAAATGCCTTAGGCACTACACCACCGGAAGGTCTATGGCAGGAAAAAATACACATATATCTGCCTTTATTCAGGCTCTAAAACCTGAGTGTTTATTTTTGTAAGAAATGATAAATTTGAATGTAAATTGCAGGTATTCTTTCTAGCTCTGCCTGTGATCAATCCGCAGTTTATAGTAGATCAAATTCTTGCCTGAGGCCAAACGGTATGTGAATTAAGTGAGTGGTTTGGGAATGCATTCATTTCTTAACACCTTAAATCCACCAAGCACAGATCATGACACTGTCTGGCATGGTGGAATGATGGCCCCTGGTAGCAACCTCCAGGGACACATGGTTTGGACTCCTGACTACAGTGTAGCAAACATGACATTCCCAAAATGAGCATCATGGTCTCTGGCTCTCAGTCTTGTGCCATTTTAAAGTCTTCATTAGTGTGTGCAGTTAGACTGAAACATGCAAGGAACAGGCAGTTTCATCAGTTTGGGATTTAACCCAGAGTTTGTAACTTTTAGATAAAACTTTGCTCCTAAGTAGTGCCTGTGTGAAGTGATTCCTGGCTGTTCGTGTGAAGTTTATGGAAATTGGTCTTAGTTCACCTGGTGGGGTCATTGGTTTTCTTATAATGCGATCTGGACAGGGATAGGATTGGCTGGGATGGGACCAGGTCGAATCAGATAGCTTCCCAGTGCAGTAGGGCATGTGTCCCAGCACACCACTTTTAGCCACCCAGTATTGTCTTTTCAGCTGTGTGGGATATGGAGGTAAGAGAGGGTACCTTGGGAATGTCCTACCAGAAGGAACAAGCATTTAAGTCCCTGCCTCAGCGGCCATGTGGCTCTCACTGCCCACCGTCTCTTTGCAGTTGGTGGACCAATTGGGTGATCCCGGCCATCTCGGCACTGGTCGTGGCCCTGATGTACCGCTTCTACACAGCAGAGAACTAATCTCTTCTCAGCAGCCTGTGCAAGAAATGACTGAGAAGCCAACGCAACGGTCTACTGGGCATGACAGAAACGTCCCCTGGAAAACAATTATACCACGTCTCTCTCCCACCCTTTCCTTTAGAAACACAGCAGAACGAGCCGGCTGTGTTTCTGTGTTCTGCTCACGAGCGTTTCTTTCAGAACGTGCCTTTCCTTCATCAACGTTTCTCACTACATAACTCAGTTAATGCCTCTTTCAGAGCGTGCCTCTCCCTCATCAGCAGTGTTTTGCTGTTTCTCACTACATAACTCGGTTATTGAGCCAAATATGACCATTTTAATATACATCTAGCTTTGAACATATCCACCAGGCTTGCCTGTCTGCTTGGCATGTTGTGTTGAATCCCTTAATGTCTTGGCCCTTCAGACCCACTGGCAGGTGCGACCGAAGGTGAAAAGCAGTCTGTGTGGCTCTTCTGCACATCTTCGTGTCTCACAGAATGACTGGTACCTCACATGGCCCATGTGGTGCCTTCATCAGGGAAATCGAGGAAGTGTAGTGCAAAGGTTTCTAATCGTTGTTTTCCCTGGAAAGAAAAGACAGACCCATAGAAGAAGTTCCATTTCATCTTTCATTAGGGACCCAGTGACAAACACCCACCTGTGAGCTCTGAGAACATCACCACTGCCTGCTCTCAGCTTAAATATATCCGTCCAAAGACCTTCTCAGGTCCCTGTGGGTTCTAAAGTTTTAAAAATCCCTCATTAGAAGTGAAAGGTGTGTATGCACCTTTCTGAGGAATGTTGCGTCCCTGATTTGTGACAACAGAGTTGTGAAGGAAATTGTGGTCATTTGGAATCTGTTCTTTGAAGTAATGGCCGCTGCCAGTGAGTACGCCACTGGGCACTGGGATGGCTCTGTCCACCTCCTCACTGGCAGCTCAGGCCAGGCTGACTCAGTCACCTTCCACTTACTGTCCTCTGCCCCGTCCCTTTGTCTTTGAAACATGGAAACTCGAGGGATGGATTTTTAGACTCTTAAGAACTTTGTAGTTAGCCATGATCACACCTGTTCTCATTGGCACATTAGCCACATAAGCAATAGATTTCTTCAGAAATGGCGAAAACTGGGACAGAATTTTGTTTTATTTCAGAGTGTAGCTTTATAATCGATAACGTTCATCCTCATTCCCTGCCTTCTTTGTCATTGAAATTTAGAAGGTAGGGAAGCAGGCTGTAATGCAAGTGAAAACTTACCTTGCAGAAAAATCCTTTATTCAGATTTTAATAAACATGTGCCTGGAACAAAAGCATGCCTCATGATGGATTTGAAATGGAGTGCTTGAAACAAAAATCACAGATTTAAAACTCAAGAGGCTCTGACATACACAGTTACTATTACGCATGTTTAATCCTGGATAGATCAGTGGCGAACTAAAGAGATGACTGCCTTCATACCGTTTTGTTTCCTAATGGAGGTGAAATTCATGTGTGTAACAAACTATTTTGAAGTGACAGTTCAGTGGTATTTAGTACACTTACAAATGTGCAGCCACCCTCTTTGTCTTGTTCCCAAGCCCTAAAGGGAGCAGACTGGTTTGTGCTTGTTTTGGTATAAGTATCAGTAGAACCAAGCATTTATCATTTCAGTGTGTTTTCACAGGTCCCATTTCGTGACACTGTTTACATTCATCACTACCCACTGTCCGATTCCAGATTTTTCAGTCACCCTGAACAGACACCAAGTGAGTGGCTCCTTCTTGCACCTTCCCTCCTATCCGTTGTCAATTCTGACTCGTACTAACCCTAGGTGGCAGTGTAGACCTGTCACATAGGGTTTTCTAGGCTGTAGTTTTTATGGGAGCAGATTGCCTGGTCTTGTCTCCCACAGAGCTGCTGCCTAGTTCAAATGATGGACCTCCGGGTCAGCAGCCATGTACTTACCCGTTGGGTCAGCCCCTGAAACTGCTCATAAACTTTGGTCTGTCTATGATGGTCTGGTCTAGACTTTTCATGTAAGTGAGATCCTTTAATACTTGTCCGTTTGTGCCTCACGACTGGGCAATCTACTTCCATAGAGATACCACCTCAGAAACCCAAGGAGGAGTCACTATGAGTTGGGATCGACTCGACAGCAGTGAGTTTAGTTTTTCAGTTTCACTCAGCTCAGTGTTTTCAAGGTTGATCTATGTTGTGGCATGTGTCAGGACTTTATTTCTCTTTATAGCTGAGTAATAGCCCACTGAAGATCCTGGTGATGTATTGGTTGAAGGGCTCAGGGGCTAAGCGAAAGATTGGCTATTTCAACCACTCAGTCACTCCCCCAGAGAAAGATCTGGCAATCTGCTCTCCTGAACATCACAGCCTGGGAAGTCCTATGGGGCACCTTTGCTCTGACGTCACGGGTTGCTGTGAGTTGGGATTGATTCAGAGGCACACCACCACAGTGAGACTCTGTGATAAGGCAGTGGGCATTGGTGGTTCAGTGGTAGAATGCTGCCTTCCACATGGGAGACCCAAGTTCAACTCCTGGCCAGTGGGCCTCCTGGGCAGTCCCCACCCACATGGCCGTGGGGCCTGGCGTGCTGCTGTGTATGATACTGAAGGGGTTTTGGTGGAACTTCCAGACTAGGCAGACAGTCCAGTAATTTCCTTCCAAAAGCCAGTTAACAAAGACCTTGTGGACATCGTGGTCTGACCTGTTGTACATGGGGTGGGCCAGCTCAAGGGCAGCTGAAGCCAAAAACCACACCCACTGGAGTGGACAGTGGATGCTGTTTATCCATCTGTTGATAAAGAACTTGTGGACCATCGTGGTCTGACCTGTTGCATATGGGGTGGGCCAGCTTGACGGCAGCTCACGCCAAAAACCATACCCACTGGAGGGGACAGTGGATGCTTTGTTTATCCATCTGTTGATGGACTTTAAGTTGTCCCCACCATGAGAGTATTGTGAGCAGTGCTGTAATGAACATCGGACGCTTCGAATCAAGGATTTCCATGCAGACCTACTCATCTTCCCTCTCGGATGGGAGAGCAGTTTGTTGCCTGCTTGAGGAGTGTTCTGGCATCATTGTGAAGGGTATAACCAGAGATTAAGGCAAGAGGGGTGCTTGCTGCAGTGCTTTTTGGAATCTGAACACAGTTCCAGGCCTGCTCTTGTAAAGCAGCACTAATGGAGGGGGTACCGGGCATGTTGGCAGGATGAGTCAGCGTGTGCGAGTTTTCAGACCATGCCAGCTGACATGTGTGTTTCTTTGGGGTCATTTACTATTTATGTCTGGAAGAGGCTCAGTTTTGTAGTACTGCTTTATTAGGTGCCGTTGAGTTGACTCCGACTCATAGCAACCCCGTGTACAGCAGAACAAAGCACTGCCCAGTCCACTATCCTCACAGTCCTTGCTAGGCTTGAACCCATTGTTACAGCCACGATGTTAGTCCATCTTGAGGGTCTTCGCCTTTATAGCTGAGCCTCTATAGCTGACTGAGCATGATGCCCTTCTCCAGGGAATGGTCCTTTCTGACAGCATGACCAAAGTAGATGAGTTGAAGTCTGGCCATTCTCGCTTCTAAGCAGCATTCTCGCTGCGCTCCTTACAGGACAGATCTGTTAGTTCCTCTGGCAGTCCATGGGACCCTCAGTACTCTTCACCAACACCACAATCCAAAAGCATCAGCTCTTCTTCAGTTTTCTTACTCACTGTCCAGCTTTCACATGTGTATGAGGTGACTGAAAATACTATGGCTTGGGTTGGGCACACCTTAGTCTTCAAGGTGATATCTTTGTTCCTTAACACTTTAGAGAGGCCTTTTGCAGTAGATTTGCCCAGTGCAGTAGGACATTTGATTTCTTGATTGTTGCTTGCATGGGTGTTGATTGTGGATCCAAGTAAAATGAAATGTCTGACAACTTCAGTCTTTTCTCCATTTATTGTGATGTTGCTTATTGGTCCAGTTGTGAGGACTTTTGTTTTATGTTGAGGTGCAGTTCATACTGAAGATTGTCATCTTCAGACAGCCCTGCTGATATTTTACATACTGGTGGCATAGCTTCCAGCCTCACAGCAACATGCAAGCCACCACAGTCCAACAAACTGACAGACAAGTGGTGGGACATTGGTTTAATTCACTAAAATACATAATACTTTGTTAATGTCAGAGATTATTAATTATCAGTCTCTTCTATTAATGAAAATTTAGATGGATGTACTGCATAGTTTAAGCAGAAGAACTGATGCCTTTGATTGTGCTGGTGAAGAATTTGAGGTGACCCCCTGCCTTCGAGTCGGTTCTGACTTTAACTGCAGCGCCACCAGAGCTCCTCAACAAAATGGAGGAGGTCCTGATGGAACAGTGACTCAAAGAACATTACAGCTACTTCCTAGTCACTGTGAGATATGTGAGCTTTCACATACAATCTTGATGCAACTCACCACATACAAAAGTAAAAAGCACAAGTAGAATTGATAGTGAACTCAGTTTCAGTCTAGCAGTTTGACTTCACCCAGGTACGTGAAGTGATGTTTAAAAAGCCCTATTTCATTAAGATCATTTCCAGTAATATTTTACTTTTGGGTTTAATAGTTTATCAAAATAATTCAGCTTCTGGAAAATAAAGTGGGAGCTCTGGTATTTGATTGCTAACCAGAAGGCTGGCAGTTCAAACCCACCAGCCACTCCTCGGAAGGAAGGTTGGGCAATCCACTTCTGTAGAGGTACCGCCTCGGAAATCCAAGGAGGAGGGGTCACTATGAGTCATGTGTCCACAGAAAATTAAAATAAAAAAAAAAAGTTTCCTGACATGTACATATTTCTGCAGTAGAGAAATATGACAGGGTGGTAAGAGGCTCAGTGTCGACCCTGGTGTTCATTAGGGTGACATTCTTGGTGGAGGTCGAGGAAGATGAAGAATGTGCACTTCGTGTCTGTTGATGAGTGCTGAAGCACTTTTTAAAAAGAATGAAAACCTGCTGTTCCCCAATTGATTCTGACTGACAGTGACCCTATAGGACAGAGTAGAA